TACAATCATATAATATGTAAGAATAATTCTATAATAATGTAATAATAGCAACTGACATTTTCTGAGCGTTTTCTGTGTGCTAGGCATTGAGACAGGGTATCAAGAAGGGGGTAAGATGAAAATTAAGAGTGTAGACTCTGGATTCAAACCCTGTCTCTCCCACTTCCTAGCTGGGTGACCTTATGCAAATTACTTCACCTCTCTGTGCCTCAGCGTATACATCTCAGAGGGCTGCTGGGAGAATTAAATGAGTTCAAGTATATAAAGTACCTAGAACATTGCCTGGCACCCAGTAAGCCCTGTTGACATTTTATTTATAATTATTGCCTCTGGACAGATGGGGAAGCCGAGGCTCACAAAGGGACACGTTCAAGTGTCTCCGAAGATCCTGTCTAACCTTGGGGCCTTGCATTTTGCCCGATAGAAGGGTAGGTATTAGGTTGGCGAAAAAGTTCGTTTGAGTTTTTCCATAAGATGTTACGGAAAGGGACTTCCCTGGTAGCGCATTGGTTAAGAATCCGCCTGCCAATGCAGGGGACATGGGTTCAAGCCCTGGTCCGGGAAGATCCCACATGCCGCAGAGCAACTAAGTCCGTGCACCACAATTACTGAGCCTGCGCTATAGAGTCCGCGAGCCACAACTACGGAGCCTGAGTGCCACAGCTACTGAAGCCTGTGCGCCTACAGCCCAAGCTCCGCAACACGAGAAGCCACCGCAATGAGAAGCCTGCGCACCGCAATGAAGAGTAGCCCCCGCTCGCCACAACTAGAGAAAGCCTGTGTGCAGCAATGAAGACCCAATGCAGCCAAAAATAAAAATAAATAAATAAAATAAAATTAAGAAAAAAAAATGTTACGGAAAAACCCGAACGAATATTTTGGCCAACCGCAATACTTTATCCCCAATCCCTCCCGTCAACAACTGCAGGAGGTAGGTCCCATTTGCGCTTCTATTCTGCAGATGAGAAAACTGAGGCATAGGAAGGCAGCTAGGGAACCCAGACCCATTGCCCCTAAGTGGACTGGCCGGATTCTAACACAGGCCTGAGCCCTGGAGGATGCTATCACCCAAGCCCACTTTCTGGCCACCTGCCCACCTTCTGGCTACAGCCACGTGGGTCAAAAGTCTGGTTGATGCAAAATTCACTTGGCAGCCAGGGCAGCTGCCCTGCCCTTGCTGCCCACCTTCTGAGCATGCAGGATAACAAGCAGCTTCTCCAGGCGGCAGCCCCAGATGTCCCCCAGGGCACGTGGGCACTGCCCTCTTCGGTCCTTCCCTGCAATTTTTGGCCCAGCTCTCGGGCTGCTCTGAATGAATCATTCCCACAAATCGTCCTCGGGCCGCAGCAGCCCAGGGTGGAGGAGACCCAAGCAGGGGCATGGGAAGGGGCAGGCATCCCAGAACCTTCTCTGGAGCAGCCCCATTCAGGGTGGATGTGTCTGCAGAGAGCAAGGGGCTTTGCAGGCAGTAGGAACGGGCGTTAAGTGGGGAGGCCAGGAGCCAGCTACCCAGAGAAGCTTCCACGCCGCCACAGGGCAAATCAAAGCCACACAGGCCACACCCGGGCTTTCAAGTCGTCAATACCAGCCACTTCTGACCTGCCACTCCTGCTACAAATTGATCCACAGAGTCACGTCGATAAAGCATCTGAACACTTTATGATTCCCAAAGTGGTACTGCATTCAGTCCATGCCCATTCCCCAGCAGGGTACACTGAGGCCCAGCAAGGGGCAGCCCCTTGACTAGCCTCCTCAACCCTGTTTCCGTTTCCCCAGGCTGCCTTCTTCGTGCACAGGAAATCGGGACTTTAAAAGGCCAAGAGAGTGAAAGTATGCACAGTGAATAAAGCAGGAGGGGCTGGACACGGCCACCAGAAGGCCTGGTCTCCACAGCCCTCCCAAAGGGCAGCTGCCCAGGTGGGAGGAGGCCGGTGGCTGGGACCCGGGAACGCAGAGCCCAAGGCTGGTTGAAGTTCCCGAACCAGCAGGTTATAGGTTGAACCTCGTGAAGAACGATGACCTTCAAGCCCCTTTGTTATCCTGTGATGCTGCCACCCTCTGACCAAGGATCTTCCCTGCAGCCTGGCCTCATGGAAGGCAAAGAGCATGTGGGAAGAGGTGGGCGTCCCAGGTGGGGGGACGACACCCGAGAGGAGGGACGGGGGTGTGTGTGTGTCCAGCGTGTCACGGGTGGGGCATCTGTCGCTCAGGACTGCTGTCCTCAGGCCTAGGGGTGGCAGCTCTGGAAATAAGCAGTGGCTCACTTAGGGTATATCTAAGGGAACCACATGGCCACCAGAGGAGGTCACCTTCAGAATGAGCATAGTGTAGCGGGTGGAACACAGGCAGGACCAGACCCCACTTCCGAGCCAAGGGACAGGCCTTCCCTTAGGGCTGCAGTCTAGGAAACCCACCAAGGGTCTCCCTGGCCTCCACATGGAGCCTCAGCTGTCAAAGGACCCCCGCTGACCTGGTGTGGGAAGGTCTGAGCTGTCCCCGCCCCCGCTTTACCTTCATCCCATGCAGAGGTCCCTAAAGGCACCACCAGATCCTGTGCTGGGTCCTGGGTTGGCCACTGTGAGCCCCTGGGTTCCTCATGGCCTCCTCTGGTCCCGCTCAGGAACAGAAGGGACACAGTGCACACGTACCTCAGCTAAGAGGCCCACAGGCTTGATCTGTTTCCCTAACTGATGGTTCCAGAGGCATTCCCAGTTACTCTGCTAAGGAGGAGTTTAATTTCATGTGTGTTAGTTTCATGTACGTTAATTTCATGTACGTTAATTTCTAACTAGCACATCAAAGCCAGTGATTTCAAAGATTAGGACTGCTGAAGACTAAATTTGTTTAAGATTATACCCCAACCCTCATCTGCTGCTGCTGGGATTATAAAATGGTGAAGCTGCTTTGGAAAATGTTTTAGCAGTTCCTCAAAAGGTGGAACACAGAATTATCATATGACCCCCCAATTCCACTCCTAGGGCTGTACCCCAGAGAACTGAAAACATACGCCACACAATGACTTGTACACGAATGCTCACAGCAGCACTACTCTTAACAGCCCCGTAAGTGGCAACAACCCAAATGCCCAACAACTGATAAATAAAATGTGGTATAACCATACAATGGAATATTATTCAGCCACTAAAAAGAATGAAATGCTGAAATAAAATAGTAATGAAGTACTGCATACTAGCATAGGGACAAACGCTGGAAACATTCTAAATGAAGAGCACCAATCACAAAAGGCCGTAGTGCATGATTCCATTTATAGGAAATGTCCAGCACAGGCAAATCCACAGAGGTGGAAAGTAGATTAGTGGTTGCCAGGGGCTGGGGTGGGGGGGTGGGGGGACTGGGAGTGACCACTGATGGGCCCAGGGTTTCCTTTTGGGTGATGAAAATGTTCTAAAATTAGACAGTGGTGACGGTTGCACAACTCTGAAAATCCTAAAAACCACTAAATTAAATACTTTAAAAGGGTGAACTGTAAGGCATATGAGTTACATCGCAATAAGGCTACTATAAAAAAATTACATGAGATTTTAAAAAAGGTGATATATATATTAAGTAAATAATAGTATCAATATTATACAATTGGGATTCGAAGAGTTAAAACGGTTCATTTATAAATGACACAATAAACCCGATTTCACAGTCATGGAAACTGAGGCTGAGTGAGGGGGAATGACTCGCCCAGGCCACATCACTACTAAACCAGAGTGAGTCACACCAAAATTTGTCCAAACACAGAAGCTTGGCCTAACCATCTAGACACGCAGCTGAATGAAGGGATTTGAGATGGGATATGGGGAGAGGTGCCCACAGCCCAGAATGGGGGACAGACCTGCAAAGAGGTTAATAAGTGAGGGAAAGGGCCAGATACATCTGTGGGATTCAAAACACGAAGCACCCAACAATGCCTGGGGAGTGCCAGGGAAGGCTTCCAGGAGGAGGTGCTGCCCAAGGAGGCTTCTGAAGGATGAGTAGGAGTTTACCAGCCCTCCTGCCCCAACACCTCTATAAGACGCATAAAGTCAGGGGTCCTAAGGGTGAGTTTCAGCTCTGCCACATAAGGGTGAGTTTCAGCTCTGCCACATCCTAGCTGTTGGACCTAGGGCCGTGGGCACAAGACCTCTCTGAGCCTCAGTTTCCCCGTCTGTAAAAGGGGAAGTAGACAAGGTGATCAGCCCTTCTAACTACTGCACTCAATCGGATGGTTCCCACCCTTCCTCCCGAGGGGACCAGCCTTTGAGTGGAAAAGCCAGACCTCGACCTCTGTCCCACATAATAATAACAGGCTTTGCCAGGTCAGGCGTGCCCAACCTTGGTGACCAAGCCCCCTTTCCCTTGCTGCCACTCACGTCCCAGCTTCACAAGGCATCTCCCGTTCAGCTGTGCACACTGAGAAGGGGAGGTTACTGGGCGGTGGGATCCTCTGGTCAAATTCCGCCCCCCCTCCTTGCGGGTGACCCCCAAGTTCACCAGGGCTGCCCCTATCCCATGCTCTCGGCGCCCCCCTCCCCAGGCAGCGATTTCCTACCCCCAACCCCTTCACTTTAGATACGCCTCGTAACTCCACAGCAGCTGCAAGTTAACTTCAACGCGTCCCCCGCGCGTCCAGGCGCCCGCGTGTGGGGCGCGCCGGGGAGGGGTCCGGGGCTCAGACAGCGGAGACACGCCGCCTCCCCCCCAAAACACACGCACGCTGAGCGTCTCCCCCGCGCAAGGTCCGAAGCGAGAATCGCGGTCACGGGGGCCGGGTGTCCGCCGCACCCGGGGGAAAGCGCTCGCAGCGCCGGGCGGGTGAGAATCCGCGAACCTCCCGCCCGCCCGCGCCGCCTCCCTACCAGCACCCAGCCGCGGAACCCGAGCAGCTGCGCCGGGCCCGGGGAGAAGCTGCGAGGGCCGAGGGCTCCCCGCCGCCCGAGGCCGACCCGCAGGCGGCCCCCTGCCGGGAGCTGCAGCCCAGGCCCCCCCCTCGCTGCCCCGGAGACACCTACCACGAGAGGCACGGCGCGGCAGCCCCGCGCGCCCAGCGACTCAGCGCTCGCCAGCCGCCCCGGCCGGGGGAGGCGGGACCATGGCGCCGTGACGTCGCACGGGGGCGGTCCGAGACGTGGTCCCGCCCCCAGGTCCGCCCACGGCCGCTCCCCGCGCCCCCCGTCCCGCCTCCAGACCGCGCTGTGGGGCGGGGCGTCCATGGCAGCTGACTGCCCGCCCCGGAAACTCTGGTCGGCCGGCCGGCTTACCCACAGGGCGGGCAGCTCATCGCTTTCCCCACCCCCTGCTACTACTCTGCTTAAGAGAAGTTCCCTCTGTCTACAAGCAGGGGAGTGGAATGATCGCCAAGAAGTGGTGTAAAAGAAGAAAACTAGACCCTGAGCAGAGAGTTTTAATGCTACTGTCTGTAGGAAACAAAAGGAAAACTGGGAAGGGCTATCATACAATTCATATACATCACTGGTTCTCAAGGAGGGTGTGATTTCGCCCTGCGGGCCACCAACCTCCCAGGGAGACATTTGGCAATGTCTGAAGACATTTTGGGTTGTCACAACTGGGGGGTTGGAGGGGATACGTTTCTACTGGAATCTAGTGGATAGAGGCCTGGGATGCTGCTAAACATCGTACAATGATCAGGACAGCCCTCCACCCTGCCAACCAAAAGCCATCCAGCCTAAAATGTCAGTAGTGCAGGGTTGAGAAACCCTGTTAGATAAGAATAAAATAAAACTCCAGGCTGGTAGAGCTCAACTCGGTCCAACCTCTCTGTGCCTCTGTTTCTCCGTCTGTAAAACTGGGAAGATAATAGATCTATCTATGCATCATATGCATATGCATTGAATACCTGAAGGAAGGGGAGGAAAGGATGAAGGCTTACTTCTCACTGTGAACCTTTGTTCTTTTTGAATTTTTTTTTTTTTTTTTTTTTACCATTTGTATATATTACCTATTTAAAATAAATTTCTAGGACTTCCCTGGTGGCGCAGTGGTTAAGAATCCGCCTGCCAACGCAGGGGAAACGGGTTCGAGCCCTGGTCCCGGAAGATCCCACATGCCACGGAGCAACTAAGCCCATGTGCCACAACTACTGAGGCTGTGCTCTAGAGCCCGCGAGCCACAACTACTGAGCCCACGCGCCTAGAGCCCGTGCTTTACAACAAGAGAAGCCACCGTGCTCCACACAAGAGAAGCCACCGCAATGAGAAGCCTGCGCACCACAACAAAGAGTAGCCTCTGCTCGCCGCAACTAGAGAAATGCCGCGCGCAGCAACGAAGACCCAACACAGCCAAAAATAAATTAATTTAAAAAAATTAAAACAAAAAATAAAATAAATTTCTATAGTAGTTACCACCATAACAGCAAATGCATATATATATATAATTACCTTTATAGTATATCTATATAATTACATACTATTTAGGCATTGCTCTAAGCACTCTATATTTACACACTTAAACCTTTAATAACCTTGTGAGAGGTCTATTATCATCCCCATCTTACAGATAAGGAAAAGATGACATACAGATATGAAGTATTTTGTCCATGGCCAACCATGTGTTTATTCATAGCTCATTAATTCATTCATTTATATGTCTAATAAATAGTACCTGCCCTGTACAAAGTGCTGGAACTGACAAAATGAAACCGCCTGCTTCCATGGAGCCAGCTGCTACTGGCCTGGAAACAACGGAATAATGTTATATAGTGTTTATTGTGCACATATCACAGGCTTTGTATGACTCACTATGGGGTAGCCCTGCTGGATGTTTTATAATGTCCCTTTCTGGGTGGAGAAATGGAGATCAAAGGAAGAGGTCTGAATGGGGCATGTGTTTAAGAACATTCTAGCAACATGCATTTCCTGAGCTCCCTGTGCTGGGTGTTGGGAGCCAGCAGGTAACAGGAGGTCTAGGGTCCTGCATCCAGTTGGGGTAATCTGGACCCTCCAACAAGCATGGTGGAGTTGGGAACAGGGTGATCAACCTGGTCCAAGGAGGGAGGCCGGGGGTGTTTACACTGAGGCCTGAAGCACGGCTGAGGGTTCATAGGAGATTGTGCTAATCACAGGGCCCCGCAGGTGCAAAGGTCTGGCAGGAAGGACCTTTGTCAAGGGGCCCTGCATGAAGTGCAGAGTGGACAGGATGTGGGGCGGGTGAGAGGAGGTTGCGGGGGTCTGCGGGGGCTGATGCTGCGGGGCTTTGTGGGCTAGAAGGAGTCAGGACTTTATCTTGCAGAGGTGGAGAGATATGGAAGGCGTTCAGCGGGGGAAGGACGTGCCAGCTTTGCTTTCTGCAGAGATCCTCTGGCTATTGTGCAGAAGAGGACAGGCAGGGAGACTGGTTTGGAGGCTGTTAAAATTCTCCGGGGGAAGCTGGTCAACCCAGGTGGGGCTGGGGACATAGGGATGTGTTCTGGCTCCAGAGATGTCTGGAAGACAGAACTGGCAGATCTCAGCGGCAGCGCTAAAGAAGGGGACCAGAATGATCGCCTGGTTTCTAGGTTGCGCCTCTCCTCTCAGCACCCCAACTCAGCGAACCCCCTCAGGTCTCAAGCTGGCTGTCCCCGCCTTGAGGAAGCCTAACCCCACCTCCCCACCCCTGGCAAATGTCCTGATGAGACAGGCACTGGACCAGGCAGCCGGGGAAATTGATGTGACGTTGAAGGCAGATGAACGAGCTCATTACTGTTTGCTCCTCCAGCCTGTGAACAACTGGGTCAGGGGCCTCTTCTCTCTTCCCCAACCTGTCTCCCCAGCTTCTAGACAAAGCCTGGCATATGGGAGCCCCTCAGTCAATATTCATCGAAAGCAGGAAGAATAAATGTAGCATAAAGCATGTGGATTCTGGGACTTCCTAGTGGTCCAGTTGTTAAGACTCTGAGCTCTCAATGCAGGGGGCACAAGTTCGATCCCTGGTCAGGGAACTAAGATCCTGCATGCTGCACGGTATGGCTAAATCAATCAATCAATCAATCACGTGGATTGTAAACCCCTTTCCATCTCTTGACATTCAAGAAGATGATGACGATGATGATTCAGATGCTTGCTATGCTCTAAGCACCTTATAAGAATTACATTCAAGCTAATCATTTACTCCTTCCAACAACCTCCAAGATTTTATTACCATTACTCCTGTTTTACAGATGAGGAAACAGAGGCTCCATCAGGTAACTGGGCTCGACCAAGGGCAAGAGCTAGTAAATGTCAGAGCTGAGATGCAAACTCAGGACAGTGGGGGAAGGAGGTGGTCCAGCAGCAGGCAGGAAGCTAGGATAGAGGGGCAGGTTCCCTCCTCTTGCTGGAAGGATGTGGGGTTATCCTTCCTAGTTGGGTACCCAGGCTTCATAAAGTACCCTGATCTTGGGTTCTTGATCCAGATGACTGGCTGTCATGGCAACATGGCCCTAAAAATATGCTCATCTCTCTAGAACCTCCTCAGGGCACCCTGGCACCATGCCCTCTTTCCAAAACTCAGTTGCTGTGTATCCATCACCATCTAGCGCTGGCACAAAAGGGATCACGCCTCAGGTGGTCCTTCCGTCCCCATCCTGCTCTTGCACACACATCGCTGACTTTGTGTCCATGTCTCTATGCCCAAAAGGCTGTGGGCTGCCTCCGGTCACTGTGGGTGCGAGATGATGTTCCATAACCAAGGTGCTTTATTTTCCCAAAGGCCTGAGACTCAAAGATTCATGAGCTGAGATCTAGCATGGAAACATGGTGACGTCCCAGCTTGCCCAGGCATTGCATCCTGAAGCCAGCGTTTACAGCAAAACTCATGCAGAATCAAAACAGCACTGAGAAGCCCCCGAGAAGGCTGTGGGCACCACGGCCACCCAATCAAGTCCAGCTCTACTGCTATCCTCCAGCATCGTACCCATCATCACTTCTGCTGAGCACCTGATGAAGTCGAAACTGAAAGTTTCTGTTTTGAGGCAAATATGTGACATATTTAAGCTCTGAAATTCTGTTCCAGGTGGGGAGATGCTCACATTTCAAGAGACGTTTTGGAACCAGGACCCACGGAAGGAACAATAGGCTTATAACTCTCATGTCACACTCCTGGCCCTTTTAGATGTTCTTTTCTTTTACTTGTTTCTTTTTATCTTTGTTACTTATTTTTGCTTGTAATTTTTATTTGTTCTCTGTTTTCTATTACCGTGTTTTATTTATTCATAAATTCAGTAGCAAAAGTTACATAAATGTATGGATAAAACAAATTAAATATAAAATAATTGCTTTGTTATTTTCTTCCAAGTTATGTTGGTTTGTTTTGCCAAGTGTGTATATTGTTTCAGCAATGCTAATGTGCATATTTTTTATATAACACCTGTGAGAAAATAAGGACATCAACAGCTTTGAGTTGAAAGCAATCTGGAAGGTCTAGACTATGAATGCAAAAAACTTAAGGACTCACTTCATTGATGGATGTCTATTGTGTTTTTCTTTTTTTAAATATTTATTTATTTATTTATGGCTGCATTGGGTCTTAGTTGTGGCGCATGGGCTCTTCGTTGTGGCGCACGGGCTCCAGAGTGCGTGGGCTTTGTAGTTGTGACACGTGGGCTCAGAAGTTGTGGCGTGCAGGCCCTGCGGCACGTGGGATCTTACTTCCCAGACCAGGGATCGAACCCGCGTCCCCTGCTTTGGAAGGCAGATTCTTAACCACTGGACCACCAGGGAAGTCCCCTATTGTGTTTTTCTTTTATAGGACTCACAAGATTCACACACTGAAAAAGTTATGTCTAAATAAGTTTAAAATAGTTCTTTCATTAAGGACGAAATAAAAATTCTAAGTGATCAGAAAGCAGCTGTGTTATATTTGAATGGATAGTAATTCTCTTTTTCTTTCTCAAATCATAAAATCATGGGGCATCTTGCCATCGATGAAGTCTTAGCATTGAAGAAATGTGAAAGTTGGTTTTGTGTGATTCCCCCACAGTAGAATTTTAGAGCTGCCCTCACACACCTTAGGAATCGAGGATGGGAATCTATGTAGCCTGACACCAGAATCAGAGAATAGTGGACACTTAGACATAAATTACAGAATCTTGGAGAATCACAGAACTTTGGAACCATAGAATCCCAGCATCAGAATCTTGAGGCTGGATGGACATTGGAGCTGTCATTTTACAGATGAGAAGAATAAGTCCCCGGGAGTGGAAGTGATTTGCCCAACACTTGGTAGCTTCTAGCAGTAGAGCAGGGCTGACACCCCTATCTCCTGATTCCTACCCAGGAATCCTATCTTCTGGTCCAAGACAAGACAGCCTGTCTTCTAACACAAGATGCTGGTCAAACTGGAGAGTGGATGTTGGGAGAACTAGGGTGGGAAGAAGATGGAAAATGCATGTCTCAGAAGGTAAGATCGGAGGTGGTGCTTCAACTTTGAAGCTCAGCAAAACCACGGAGCGGGGTGTCATGAGACCCCACTTTTCTTTCCGGCTTCCTCTTCTGCCACACTTAGCATTCCCTTCCCACCCCTGACATCCATCCACACAACCACCAAACTACTCCTCCCACCTTAATAAGCTTGGACCCACCACAAGCTCTCTCAGCCTCTGTGCCTTTGCGCATGTTGCTCCACGGCTGCCGAGTACAGCTGTGCAGGTTGGGCACTGCACAAGGGTACCATAATGACATCGTAGACATCACAGATTTATTCCAATACTTTCTGGCAGATGGCCGTCAAATGTCCTGAGGAAGTAGCATCTTTTTATCATTTGCACAAAGGTGCCATATGGGGTAGCAGGGACCATACTGTTTGCTCTGCCTGGGATGTCATCTCCCTCATTCGCCACCAGGCAAGCTCCTAGTCCATCCTTCAAGACCCCCTTCAAATATCCCCTCCTCCAGGAAGGTATCCATGGCAACAGCTCCCCTAGGCTTTCTGCATAGATTAATGGTTAATAACATCAATCAATGCTACTTGTTGACTCAGGAGTCAATACTGCCTGATGGAGATTTCCAGAGCAGGGCATGTGCCATTTGTAGCAGGAGAGATGATTCTAGGTGGAACTTGGACCCAGGATTAAATAACACTAAATCAGATACAAGGAAATAAGCCTCTTTTTACTCTTCTTTGATTAAATCAGGGAGAAACATGTCAGTTTGGGCAAGCGTGTCTTTCAGACCTCTCTCTGACGCTTGCTAATCACCCATTTTGTCAAAGAGCAAGCGGGATTCAGGCTAAAACCTTCAGCAAGCGGTGGTGTCTGCTGAGAATTCAATACTTGGCCTTTTTAAATTGTATTTACTTATATGACTGCTTTCTATCTATACCATATGATGCCTGTTTTCCACATCCTGTAGTGTTATCAAATTTTACTTACAAGTCAGTGCATTTAAGCACACAATATTATTTATTTAAATAAATATATTAAGTAACTAACAAAACAGGTGGTAAGCAGAGAAGGCAAAAATCAGGAGAGTGGTACCTGAAGGAGTAGAATTTGAAAACACAGATTTGTTTAAGAGCCTGGCTCTGGAACCAGACTGCCTGGGTTCAGATTTTGACTTGACACCTGTGTGACCTTGGGCAAGTCACTTTCCCTCTCTGAGCCTCAATGTCCTCACTTTTTAAATAGGAATAATTATATAATACTGGCCTCCTAGAGTAGTCCAAAAGATACACTAAGAGAATGTAAAGAACTTAGCAGTGCTCACTGTTTTGATTATTATTATAATTATCAAGACAGAGGAAGTCACATGCCAGCAATGACAGGGGACCTTGAGGCATCCATCTGTTCACAGACCCAGGAGACATTTTGGCTTCAGGAACTTTTATTTGCATGGGGAAGATGAGCCTCCGGAAGGGTGGGTCACGAGAGAAGAGTGGTGTGTAGACTCACTTGGGGGGCTCAGCGGCCAGCACGGGGAAGCAGCCTTCACGGTGCCACTGTCTGTCACGCAGGCGGCGCACAGCCTGCATCTGTGGCTGGAAGGCTCCCCACTCATTCCAGTGCCGGAAGTCACCAGGCTCCAGGAGGTACTGGTACCCGCGGTAGCCAGGATACTGATAGCCGACCCAGCTGGTAGGAAAGCAAGGACAGCATGGAGATGGCTAGCCTCACTACCTGGCACTTGGACCCCCACCTTGACCAGTCAGTTCTCCATCCATCCATCCATCCCTCCAGTCTGCTCTCCATCCCTCACCTGTGAGGGTTTGGACTTGGGTTCACCGGGGCCTCCTCTGTCCTGGCTTTGCCCCTTCCTGCTGGCTTCCTGCTGGCTTTGGCCAGTGATCTCACCTCTCTGACAGATCTCAGTTTTCTCCTCTAGAAAGTGGGGATGGTCATGGGAGCTGGTTTATTAGGGTGTTTGGGGGCCAAATGGGAAAATGCATCTAAATTACTTACTAAGTGGGTTACATGTACATGGTAGGGAGATTAATACACATCCCACTGAAAGTGGTGACCCAGAGCTCAGAGAACAGGATTAAAGGTAGTGAAGATAGGGCTTGGGGACTGGTTAGCAATGAGGCAGATAAGAAGGGGGAGCTTTGTTTCAAAAAATGGTTTCCTTTGTATGAAAGTGAATTTGCGTGTAGCGGTTGGGATCACACATTCTGGTATCGGATATGATCGGTTCAAATCCTAGCTCTGCCATTTACTAGGTAGATGACTTATCAGAACACCAGCTTGCTATCTATGAAGTGGGCGTGATGACATACCTGCCTCATTGGTGTGTTGTAAAGACTCAATAACTATTCATTGAAGGTAGTTAGTGCAGTGCTTGGTCCACAGTAAGCAATTAATACCAGTTATTATCCATGATTGATTTCTAATTCTGTCCTTGCCTCTGCAGGGAGGGTTTTTCCAGGCCTCTCCCAGAGCCCCTGCCCATCTTTCAAAGTCTGATTTAAGTTCCAGCCTTGCCAGATAAGTCTCGGACCCACCCTCCACTCCAGCACACATACCCCGGTCCCAGAAACCTTCCTTCCTCCTCTGACCTCCTGTGGGGACCATCTCTTACCTATTATTGTCGGACATCATCTCACAGGTGTACTGACATCTCCCTGCTAGACTGAGTAAGGCCCCTGAAGGCAGGAACTGGCCCTTCTTCATCTCTGCCTCCCCCAGTGTGCTGAGCACAGAGCCTGGCTCACAGGCAATGTTTAGTAAATTTCAGATTGCTTGAATGCAGGGATACTGGGTTTCAGGGAAGGAGAAAATAGCAAGAAAAAGGTCAGAGCCCTGACGGTGTTACAGGAGCTCAGAAAGAGTCTGGGGTGGAGAGGTAGACACCTTACATTTGCCTAGAGGAGACCAGGGGTGTCTGGCATGGTTGTTTGGAGGCAGGGGCATCGATAAAGTGACCTCCTTCGGGTATCCGGCCCTTCCCTGTGTTCTCATGGACATGGGGACATGGGGCTCTGTTTTGAAAGCTTCAAATCCTGAGAGCTCAGAGCAGAAGTCCTTCGGAATAAGGAGTCTGCTGAGCCCATTGTATAGATGGCAACACTGAGTCACAGAGAGGGCATGTGGCTCACCCAGGTGCCACAGTGCATCAGTGATGGGGTTAAGGACCTTTCATTACACAGTCTCACCTCTCAGATGTCATTCTACTCATGTCCCTAGAGGCTACAATTTCCCTGAATATTCCATTTCCCTAGACACATCCAGACTCGTCTACTCACGTCAACTCTGCCCCTTGCACTTAATTATTCCTCCAACCCAAATACAGAGTTAGAAGCCCCTATTCGCTCCATCTTCCCACTTTTTAGAACAACTTGCTAGGTCTGTTTACATTGACATGTAGTTCGTCAACAAATGACTCCACTCCCCAGAGGGATGAAACTCTCTTTGTGGAATCCCAGCCACTGGCACAGAGAGAATTTAGGAGGAGCCGGGGCCTTTCCTGTATGTCTGATGTCACATCCTGTAAGGGAAACGGCGTCCGAATCTGTCTGAGCTTGAAGCAGGGGATGAGGGCCCACAGGAGGGATTCTTACGTTCCGCTGGCGACCTTCACGCTGCCCACGCGGTCACAGAAGCCGTAGACCCAGAGACTGGGCACATCGTCCTCCTGAATCTCCATGGTGTTGCCCTTGAAGTTGGCACCTTCAAACAGGCAGAGCTTGTGCGCCTGGGCGTCCTGGGGAAGGAGAGACTGGGTCAGGGCTGTGAAGTATGAATGGGGCAAAGAGAAGTGACTTCGCAGGGCCTTCTGGGTGTGGAAAGAGAGAGCGGAGTCTGCTCAGGCCACCATGGGACTCGCCCAGGATTGCAGTTGTCCAGCCTCAAAGCGCCCTCCTCATCTGGGAAAAGGGAGTGTCAGCCTCTACTTCCTGGAGTTAATCCATACAGAGCACTTAGCACGATGTCTGGCATACATACACCAAGTGCTCCAAGCAAATTTATTATTTTTATTATGATGATCAGGGATGCAGAGGCTCAGATAAGTCAAGGTTCTTGATCAATGTCACACAGCCAGCGAAGGGTAGAACCTTCCAGAGAAGCATTTCATTCTTCCCATCCCATCTTGCACCCTGTTCCCTTCCACTCCCTCTGCTGCAGCCACAGTGGCCCTATTTTAGTTCCTTGGTCCCACCCACTCCATCTTCATTCCAGGAACTCTGCCCTGCCTGTTCCCTGGGAGACTGTTCAAATGGCTGACTCAGTTCCCATCCTTTGCAAGCTGTCTCTCCTGATCACCCCTGACCACTCCCACCCCCTCTTCCCCAACATCAGAGCTCCGGTTTCCTCTTCCCCTCTCCTAGCACACTGCATGGCCCCCGTGCAGCACGTGCAACAGTTGTTTGCCATTACAGATTCACTTTTGTGATGAGGTTTTCAGTAGATACCTCCCACGAGGGCAGGGACCTTACCTGTCCAAAGCACAGCTGCACACCCAGAGCCTATGACACAGCCTGGCAGAAACACATCAATGTGTTTGTGGTTGAATGAATGACTGTAGGTGGAAGATGGTTGAGATAGAGATCCCTCTAACTTCCCAGGAGAGAGGGCTGGAAAGGAGTCAGGGAACCAGCTGGCAGGGAGTTGGAGCCACTCAGGTATGAGAGAAGATGGGCCACGTTAGGATGGTGGCAGGGATACAGAGGAGGAATTAGACCAGTGGCTCTCAGCCCTGGCTACCCAGAGACTACCTAGGAGGCATGAAAAGATATCAGTGCCTGTGACTTAGCCCCAGAGATGTGGACTTAATTGGTCTGGGGTGGGGTCCAGGCATTGGGAATTTTTTCTTTGTTTTAAAATTTTACTTTTATTAGAGTATAGCTGATTTACAATGTTGTGTTAATTTCAGGTATTCAGTTATACATACATATATTCACTCTTTTTTAGATTCTTTTCTCATATAGGTTATCACAGAATATTGGGTAGAGTTCCCTGTGCTATACAGTAGGTCCCCGTCAGTCATCTATCTTATATGCAGAAGTGTGCATGTGTTCATCCCAAGCTCCTCATTTTTCCCTCCCCCTCGGGGATTTTTTTCTAATAATATATTTTATTTAAGAAAATGTGTCTAAATTATGATGATTTCAATATGTAGCCAACATGGCAATATTAATGAGGTATTTTACATTCTTATTCTCCTTTTTTACTATGTATTCAAAGCCTGGCATGTCTGTTGCACACCTCCATTCAGACTAGCCAAGATTCAAGTGTTTAATACCCATATATGGCTATTATATTGGACAGCAAGGTTCTAGAAGCTACTGGAAATGCCCTAGCTGATCGCTCTTCCAAACAAGGTCCGTTGACATAGACCGCCTTATAAGGACCATTGACGGAGAGATTTCTACGAATTCTTACAAAGAGTCCATTATTAAGGCTGATAAGGTTCTAGAAGCTACTGGAAATGCCCTAGCTGATGGCTCTTCCAAACAAGGTCCGTTGACATAGACCGCCTTATAAGGACCATTGACGGAGAGATTTCTACGAATTCTTACAAAGAGTCCATTATTAAGGCTGATAATTCAGCCTCAATTTGAGAAAAACACTAGGAATGATCGGAATGGATAATGCATTAAGGTACGTTTGGTGATGCCAAAACAGCTGGCTGTGCGCACATGATAGCCTCAAAAGGACATGCATGAAAACTCTTCATGGGGCTTCCCCGGTGGCGCAGTGGTTGAGAGTCCGCCTGCCGATGCAGGGGACGCGGGTTCGTGCCCCGGTCCGGGAGGATCCCACGTGCCGCGGAGCGGCTGGGCCCGTGAGCCATGGCCGCTGAGCCTGCATGTCCGGAGCCTGTGCTCCGCAACGGGAGAGGCCACAACAGTGAGAGGCCCGCGTACCGCAAG